AACCGGGTTTGTCGTGGATGCCAAGAGAGGGTAAAAGTACAGAGCCTCGCGGCAAATTGGGGTGCTGATTTTTTCAGTGCAGCTATATTCTCATAAATCGCTATGTTGCTGGTCCGGGGCCGTTCTGGGGCTTGTGCATCTTCGGCCAGGAAGCTGTCTCCTGCCGGCCTTTGTATATTGACCCCATTTATGACTTTGCCTTTCTCAAGTACGACCCGGAAAGCGTTTAGAATATGAAGATAGACGGACTAAGCCTTAGCTTAGGTGGCGCATCTAGTAATTTATAGCTAGTGTGCGGCACAGCACGAAGGAAGTCTAACTGTTCTGTGTAGTTGGCTAGCCGGTGCTTGTGGTCGGCAACGATGCTAGCGAAGCCACAAGTATCATTGACGGCACGATTAGCTAAATAGACCGTAACGCCCCTGAGTACGACGGGCCCTACAGCGACTTCAACATCAGCTATTATATAGCTAACATGAACTTAAGCGGAGGGTTATCTGGCAGCCCTGCGTTAGGTGAAGATGGCTTGGTGCTGGGGATGGTGTCGGGAAGGCGGACGGATGGCGTGATATGCTTCCTTCTGCCGACGGGTCCTATTCTCCGGATCTTATGCCGTCTACGCTAAGGTTAAGACGTGCCCTAAGGTGACATTTAGTGTAAGTTTGTGATGAAACCGATACACAAGTGTAAGGGTTTAGGGCTAGGCTTGGGCTGGGAGGAAAGACTTCACTGGCAGATTACGGCGTCAGGTGGGCTGCTCGTCGTAAGTAAAGTTTTGGTCGGCGGCCCGTCGTGCGGGAGGATTCTACCAGGGGATATTCTTCTCGAGGTGAATAGGGCTGTCGCGCTCTAGTTCGACGAGCTCGAGGATGCATTTAACGAGAATGTAAACGGCTAGGTTTCTATAAGCTTGCTCCGAAGCGGGCAACTAGTTCTCGGTATCATTAACGTCATTAATCTTCACCACATCATGCTAAAACGTCTTATATTATTAGGAGGCCTTTTCTACTATAATGTAACGTACGTGTAAGTGGTCAATATGTCTGTGGCTGCTCGCGGCGTCTATGTGGCCGAGTCCACGGAGCTGATGTTAATTGGCGACGGCGAGCCTGGCTAGATCATCTAAAGCCTGAATGGTTAAGCCATCTCTAGTCTGGAGGGGTTTCTTGACCGTCTGAAGTTACTTCATAAGGGCTAGGCTGTCGTGGTGACCTGCGCGCATCTCGAGAGCCTTCATCGACGCCGCACTTCCGTCCTCACACTTAATGTTCTAAGTGGGATCACCGTGTATTCTCTGGCTGGGGCGACGGGTCTCTGGCGTAGCGCCACGACACCTCTGCGCCTGATGCCGCCGGCGGTGATACACCACCCCTTTATAAGTAAGATCTCGCCTCGCGCTCTGTTTCCGACTGTTATGCTTAATTTGATTCACGTCGAAAGCAGGGCGTATCTATACCTCGACGGCTACCCGGCTATGTTGGCACGAGGAATGGGCGTTATAGTCAACGCTAAAGCGGGTCTCGCTGTTGTCTCCTGAAAGGTTATGCCACATAAAGCGTGCTACATCACAGTCACACTAGGAACGGCTACGGAGGTAGGCGCGCGGTGTGTGTTTCTACATGCACATCATTGCTATGCCATCATTTAATATGATGTTTCCTTAGCGCCAAGATAAGTAGGCGGCGTCACGCTTGGGAACTGGTTGTCGGATGTGAAGGCTAGTCTCATTTACTTTAGTGAGCCAGAACAGCTCTTGCACGGTGACGCGACAGTGTAGTCAGTCGTGCTTATGCGACCGGCGCTCTGGTCGACTACGCCGTCCCTTAGATGCCACCTAGTTAATGCAGACCTCATCGAGATTAAAGCGCCGTCTGAAGTGAAGGGCGCAGATGGTGTGATTATGAGCTCCGACGGATCCGTACAGGCGATCTAGATGCCTAGCATAGGCGGCTTATCGGCGACTAGCTTATTAAAGCTCTTGCCATACTTCGGACAGGAGCATGTCCCTGCGCTGTACGTGATGCCCGCCGAAATGGAGGTAATCTTAACGCGCTAGGCAAGACTTATGGGGGCGCCTGAGGTATTCGTCCGAGCTGTAGCAGAATACACCTCGAATATATATATGGTGAGAGGGAGTTTCTCGGCCTAGCTGGAGCAGGGCGATATTGTTATGAAGTTGGGCGACAAAATACCTGTGCGTTAGGCGGATTTTGATATCGACACTCGTACGATATATGCGCGGATATGGCGGCGAGATGTAGCTTAGGATCTTAAGCTGAAGAGCATTTAAGTAGATGACCTGGAAACAACTTAATGCGTT